TTTTTCTTTTTTTTTTAAGAGAGAGAATCTTTAATATTTATTTTTTAGTTTTTGGCAGACACAACATCTTTGTATGTGGTGCTGAGGATATAACTCAGGCCGCACGCATGCCCCTGGTGATTTTCTAAAATGAAAAAAACGTTAACTTAAAAATTCAAGTACCTTACCCGTGCATGAAATAAAGTCCATTGACAACTAAGAAAATTAAAAAAAAAATAGGGCTGGGGATGTGGCTCAGAGGTCAAGTGCTCCTTGTTCAATCCCCAGTACTTACCTCCCCACCCCCACAAAAAAAGAAATTCAAGCACCTTTACAAATTCCAGTTAGAGTAAACTATAAAAAGACATGTACAGGGGCTGGGGCTGTAGCTCAGTGGTTGGGTGCTTGCCTAGCATGGGTGAGGCACTGGGTTAGCACCACATGAAAAATAAAGTTTAAAAAAATATATATTTAGGGGCTGGGGTTGTGGCTCAGTGGTAGAATACTCGCCTAGTGTGATGCACTGGGTTCAATCCTCGGCACCATATGAAAAAATAAAGAAAGAAAATAAAGGTATTGTCCAACTACAACTAAAAATATATATAAATATTTAAATATATATATTTTAAACCTTTATTTGTTTATTTATTTTTATGTGGTGCTAAGGCTCGAACCCAGTGCCTTGCATGTGCTAGACGAGCACTCTACTGCTGAGCCATAACCCCCGCCCTTTTAAAAACTGCATATTAAAAAAAAAAAAAGACATATACAGCCTGCCACAGTGGCACATGCCTATAAATCCCAATTATTCAGGAAGTTGAGGTGGGAAGGTCATAAGTTTGTTTTGTTTTTTTAAATTGTTGTCTTTGTCATAATGAATTTTTTTATTCATTTATTTATATGCATTGCTAAGGACCAGTGCTTCTCACATGCAAAGCAAATGCTCTACCACCAGGCTATAGCCCCAGCCCCAAGTTTGAGGCCAGCCTCAACAACTTAGTGAGATCCTGTCTCAAAATAACTAATAACAAGGACTGGTAATGTAGCTCCATGTTAAAGGGCCCCTGGGTTCAATCCTGAGTACCTAAAATTAATAAATGAGTAAGTTGGAAAAAAAATACAAATATCATAGTAAGAAATGGGGAAAAAATTCAAATGTTCATCAATAGCAAGAATGAATAATAATACAGTAATATTGGTCATGCAAGGAATAGTCAACAATAATTAGAAGAATGATCTTGGGGATAAAGATGTAACTCAGTGCAAAAGCATTTGCCTAGCACTCATGAAGCCTTGTGTTTGATCTCTGTGTTGCAAAAAGAAAAGGGAAAGAATATCTTGCTGCATGCAGTGGGGGTGAGCCTTAACTGATAAAATATAGAGCTAAGGAAACTAAACATAAAAGTACGAACTATGTGATTTTGTGTATGTGAAATTTAAAATAAGACAAAACTAATCTTTGGTGTTGTGGGCATGTAATCCTGGGTACTTAGGAGCCTGAAGCAGGAGAAGTGCAAGTTCCAGGCCAGTCTGGGTAACTTAGGCCCTTGTGGGGGAGGGTTTAAGGTCTGGAGATATAGCTTAATGGTAGAGCATTTGTCTAGTAGTATGTGTGAAGCCCAGGGTTCAGTGTTCAGCACCACACACACACAAAAAGAGAGAAGTTAATCTTTGACCTATTAAATGTGAAGGGAGTAACTGATAGTCAAGAGCTAAAAGAAAAGCTTTTGGAATATTAGAAATATTCTGTATATTTATCTAGATAATAGTTGTGCAAGTTTATACAATGCTAGAAAAAATAATTAGCTTCTGCACTTAAGATTCTTAGATTTTAGTGAAATATCTTAGGGTTTTTAAAACAATGAAACATTTTAAAACATGAAATCTCTTAAACATCAATATTATATGATTAAACAAGTAACAGGTCCTATAATAAAACATTATTGTTAGAGGCTGTGTATGAATTATGGGTTTGTTTGAGCAATCATGAGGCGAGGTAGGGGGGATGGGGAGTGGTTGTCCTGTGCTTTTCTGAGAACTCCTGGTGTGAATCCACCAGTTGCAGATTGCTCAAATCAAAGCTGACACCTTACCTTAGTTCAAAGCCCTAGGTTAAAAAGCAGCCTTGGAAGGTGGGCGGAACCTCCCTAGTCCCAAACAACTTGTTTTTCTCATACTTATCCTGTTTTCCTCATCTTTTTCCTCAAGAAGCCTGCCATACTAAAACCTTTTGATGTATTTCCCCTTAAATAAAGATTTGGGGCCTTTTTCCTTGTTCAGCTGTAATCCCTGCCAGGGCTAGGAAACTTGCCAGGCCTCTACTTTGAAAACTATTTTCTGCCTCTTTTGTTCTTTATTTATTATTTTCACACCTCCAAGCAGGAATCTGCTCTCTTGGGGTGCTGGTAACCCCGATACATTAGCATCAGAATACCTTTCATAAAAAATTATTTTGTAAATCAAACTTGCAATTTTTTTATTTGTTCTGTTTAGTTATACATGACAGTAGAATGTATTTCGGCAGATTATACATACATAGAGTATAACATTCTATTTAGGATCCCACTCTTGTGGTTGTACATGATGTGGAGTTACCCTGGTTGTGTATTCAAATACAAGGCCAGGAAAGTTATGACTGATTAATTCTACTATCTTTCCTATTTCCTTCTCCTCTCCCTTTCCTTCATTTCCTTTTGTCTAATCCAATGGATTTCTGTTATTCCCTTCCCCAGCCTCCCTTGTTTTGGATTAGCATCCACAAATCAGAGAAAACATTTGGCCTTTGGTTTTTTGGGAATGGCTTATTTCAGTTAGCATGATAGTCTCCAGTTCCATCCATTTACCGGAAAATGCCATCATTTCATTCTTTAATGCTGAGTAATAATTCCATTGTGAATTATTACCACATTTTCTTTTCTTGCTTGTTCTCGTTTAGTTTTATCTGTAAATGAAAATAAGACAAAATAAGAAACAGTAGGTAGCAATTGAGGAAAGAATATAGGTATGGTTGTTAGTGCTAGTAATGTTGTTAAGAGGCCCTTGGAACAGTTGGAGGGAACCGATGGCCCCCTCTTTGTAATAACAAAAAGCTTCTTTTTGGTACCAGGAATTCAACCCAAGTGCTTAACCACTGAGCCACATCCTCTGCTGTTTTTATATTTTTTGTTTTGAGACAGGGTCTCACTAAGTTGCTTGGGGCCTTGCTAAATTGCTAAGGTTGTCTTTGAATTCATAATCCTCCTGCCTCAGCCTCCTGAGCCACTGGAATTACAGGCGTGCACCACTGTAACCTGCACAAAAGGCTGGTGAGCAGTGAGGCAGAAGAATTGCAAGTTCAGTAAGACTGTCTCAAAATAAAAATTTCACAAAAAGAACTGAGGATGTAGTTTACTGGTAAAGCACCCCTAGGAAGATGGATGAATGGATGGATATAAACAGATAGATATGAAAAAATAATTTTATACCATAGGGTCCTGTTTTTTGAAGCTTCATCTAATTTTCATTAGAAATGCAGAATCTCTGGTCCCTTTTCATATCTACCAAATTATAATCTCTGTTAAACAAGATTCCTAGGCTGGGGATGTAGTTCAGTGATAGAGTATTTGCCTAGCATGCTCAGGCCTTGGATTTGATCCCCAACACCACAAAAGAAAAAAATAAAAGATTGTTAAGTGACTTCATATACATATTGAAGCATTTCACCTCTATGTAATCCTATACCATTTTGAAGCTAATAGTAATATATTATTAATAATAATAACAGTGACATACAATATATGTAAGATTAGGAAAGCTATCTTTCCTGAGTAACCTACAACCTATATTAATGCCTATGAAAGCTAGGAAATAATTTTAGAAAGATTTGAATTAAAGTATTATATCTAAAGTGTTTTGAAGGAAAGTAGACCAATGTCTTCAGTTTTCTTGAAATATGCAAAAATGATGGCTTAATTTTTAGAGCAATGAATAGGTGGAAAAATGATAAAGCAAAAACAATAAAGTAGTGTTGAATCCACTTGGTGAGTATATGGGTGTTAGTTATAAAAGTTTTCAACTTTTCTGTATGCTTTAAATTTTTCATAATGTTGGCTAGGAAAATGGATAAACTTATAGCCTTATCATATTTCTTAAGGTTTCTGGGTAGTCAGTCATGCTTCACTATAGCTATCTCTGCATTTGCATATCCTTTGCCATTTTCTATAAATGTATATAAAAATGGCATTTTTTGAGTGTGCCACACAACACTTTACTATTATATGCATTATCTCATTTATTCCTTATAATAGTTCAATGAATTAAGTGTAATTGCAGTTTATATCAGAGAAACCACAATATGGGGGGGCTGAGGTTATAGCTCAGTGTTCACCCAGCATGCATAAGATCCTGGATTCAATCCCCAGCACCACTTTGAAAAAAAAGAAGGCCAGCCATGCCTGATATTATGCTCTTGTACTCCCATAAACTCAGGATTGAGGCAGGAGGATTACAAGTTCAAGTTGTTCCTTGGCAATTTAGCTAGACCCTGTCTCAAAAAAAAAAAAAAAACAGACCTGAGGATGTGGCTCAGTGATCTATTGCCCTTAGGTTTAATCTCCATTGCTAAAAAGAACAAACATGAGCTTAATGTATTTGCATAATCTTGTAAATTAAGGAGATACACTTTTATTTTTGTGTTTTGCCATACTGGAGTGGAATCTCAGGCCTCAAATATGTTGGGCAAGTGCTCTAATACTGAGCTATGTACCCAGCCCACAACTTAGTTTGAACCTGCGAAGTCTGATTTATAACTGATGGCTATAGCATTACACAATTCTAGTATTCATGATTAATTGTTGGCACAATTAAATATCATTCCCTTGGAATATGAAGTGAATAGTTATCCTAGATTGTTCATTGAGGCTGTCAACCCTCAACACATGCTTGTATGCTGCCTCTTAAATTCTTAAATGAAAATTTCAAATATTTGTCTGATGTGAATTTTATTTATTCCATAACTTTTTCTTGTGTTTTTCATTTTTAAGATTCTTGGATCTCCCAGTCAGCATCATTTCCCCGTAACCAGAAACAGCCAGGGGTGGATTCTTTATATCCAGTGGCCTTACTTCCTAATCAGAATTTCCAGCCTCCAGCCCAACAAAAACTTACTAAACCAGCTAAAATCACTTGTGCAAACTGCAAAAAACCTTTACAGAAGGGACAGACAGCTTATCAACGAAAAGGATCTGCTCACCTCTTCTGTTCTACCACCTGCCTTTCTTCCTTCTCTCATAAACGTGCTCGAAAGACACGAAATGTTACATGTAAAAAGTAAGCAGTATCATTTCTCCATATGGTTGAATATGAGCAATAAAAATAAATGTTCTGCATGCAATTGGAAGGCTGAAAAAGTTTATGAACCTGGAGTATGTTAGAGCTGTGAATTCTTATATTATGCTTCCGCTTAACAAGAAAGTGAAATATAGGTATGGAAGTATATTCTCTTTCCCTTACACCTTATTTCTGCCAAGGTATTACCAGCATGTTTGAATGTTTCCACAAAGCTGAACAACTGGTGAAGTTCTTATGCTACAAAAGGTGTTTTTACCTTTGAACCTTCTCTTTCTGTGTTATTTAGGAACTCATGGTAATGAAGCCAAGATTAGATTTTACTATATCCAAAAGTTATAGCTGATTCCTAGGGTTAAATAATAATAAAATGAAAATGTTAATTATTAATCATATATTTTACTTTTTGTTAAAATACAGTGTTCTTGGGGCTGGGCTGTAGCTTAGTGGTAGAGTGCTTGCTTAGCATGTGTGAGGCCTGGGTTTGATCCACAGTACAAAAAAAATAATAAAGGAAACGGTGTCTTAAATTGTCTATCCTTTGTGTTTCAGAGATGCACCTACAAAGAAGGCTACTATTGTTACTCCAGTAGAATCAAGCAAATCCTTCCAAGAATTTTGTTGTACATCTTTGTCTCCCTATGAAGACAACCAGAATCTTAGAAAAGGATTTTTTAATAAGTCAAGATGTACAATCTGTAGTAAATTAACAGAGGTCTGGATTTTATACCTAAATTGTTAATTTAGGTTAACAGGGATAATTGTAACTTTTAAGTGCTCTTGTAAGCTCTGCTGTCTAATGTAGATATCCTGTATATATATCACGAAGTTAAAAGATGGAATAAGGATATACTAGAACTATCTTATTAACTAATGTGTAGTATGGAAAGTACACATTTGTTTTTATGGAACTCATTGTAATAATTTAACAATTTGTGGTAGATTTCTGTTCATAGTAATAACATTAAAGAAAAGTGTAGTTTCAGAGCATGAGGGAAGCAACAGATCCTAATACAAGAACATGTGAAACAGAATGCATTCTGTTCCTTTAACACTAATTAAGTGATTCAGCATCTTTCAAGTTGCTGAAAAGGAAGAAACATGCATTCGGGAAGTCCTCATTTTATACTGTTTTTGTTAACTATATTTGGTTCAGGTGATCTAATAGCTGAGCAAATCAGGGTATGATTTTATTTATTACCACATTGAGAACTATCTTACTTATAGATACACTGGCACACCATCCTGACCATGGATAATGTTTATTCCCATATCCCCTTCTATGAATGTTCTAGAGAAGTGAACTTAATAACATTAAGAATGCCTGTAATCCCAGCAACTCAGGAGACTGAGGCAGGGAGGATCAAGTTCAAAGCCAGTCTCAGCAACTTAGTGAGATACTGTCTCCAAAAAAAAAAAAAAAATGGAGGGCTGGGGATATAGCTTGTTGGTAGAGTGCTTACCTCATGTGCACAGGCCCTGGGTTCAATCCCTAACACCACACACACACAAGAAAAAAGCTGGGATGTGGCTCAGTGATTAAGCACCCCTGGGTTCAATCCCTGGTAACCCCACCACCAAAAAAAAAAAAAAGAATTCCTAATCCAATTTTGTCTTTTTTTTTTTTTAATTGTAGTTGGACATAGTGCCTTTATTTTTATATGGTGCTGAGGATTGAATCCAGCGCCTCGCACATGCTGGGTGAGAGCACTCTCCGCTGAGTCACAACCCCAGCCCCAGTTTTGTCATTCTTAAATGCCTTCGGGAATTGCTTTTTCTCTGTGAATATTGATTTTACAAACAGAAAAAGTGAAAGAACAGTGAAATGCTTTTTAATCTTTTTTTCTGAATGTTTCTTTCCCTGAGATATTACTAGAGGTTCTTTGTTTCTTTTACAGAAACTAGTTTCACTGCCTTTCTTTTTTTTTTTTTTTTTTTTTTTTACTAACCTGGTTCATATATTTTAGTTAATTTTGTTTTTTCTTTTAGATTCGTCATGAAGTCAGTGTTAATAATGTAACACACAAGCTATGCAGCAACCATTGCTTTAATAAGTACAGATTGGCCAATGGTCTAATAATGAACTGCTGTGAACAGTGTGGAGAGTATATGCCCAATAAAAATGCTGGAAACAATATCCTGATTGGAGGTCAACAGAAGCGATTTTGTTCCCAAAGTTGTGTTAATGAATATAAAGAGGTAATTCTTTTTAATGATTAAGTATGTAATGGCTTAACCCTATTAGCTTATATTAATCAAATTTATCTTAGGATCTTCTCTAGTTCCATTTTGTCATTCTGTTATTGAGCTGACCATTTCAGCTATGTATTGAAATCTTTTATTTATTTATTGCATGATGCTGGGTTTTGAACTCACAAATGCTAGGCAAGTGCTCTACACTGAGCTGCATTCTCAGTCTTACAATATTAAAATCTATCCATTATTGTAGGTAAGCTTGTTTTAAATGTTTTTTTCTTCAAAAGTAATTGTTCTTCTCTTCACTTTGTACTCCCACTAACAGTTTAATCCAGTAACTCTACAGTTTAATCAAAATTTGGCGTTGTCTGTTTTGATTTAAGCCACTTTAGTGGCAAAATGATGATTTAATTGTGGTTTTAGTTTACATTTCCCTAAGAACCCAATACTCCCTTTTCATCAAAAGATAATTTTATCCAACTCTTGTGTGGTATGTGTGTGTGTGTGCACGCGCGCACTACAAACTGATCCAGGGGCGCTACCACTGAGCCACATCCCCAGTCTTTATTTTTTTGATTATCACCCTCATTTATTTAATTTTTTTGGTACTGGAGATTGAACCCAAGGGATGCCTTACCACTGAAATCCCCAGCCCTTTTTAATTTTTTTTTATTTTGAGACAGAGTTTCTCTAAGTTGCTGAGGCTAGCCTCCAGTTTGTGAGCATTCTGCCTCAGCCTCCTGAGTTTCTGGGATTGCAGGCATGTACCACCACGCACAGTTTTATATTTTTATTTGGAGACAATCCTGCTTAATTGTTCACCCTGGTCTTAAAGTTGCCTCAGCCTCCAGAGTAACTGGGATTACAGACATGTAGCGGTCTCTTAAAATCTTCAGACAATTTTTGAGTTGTCTGTCTCTCTCTCTTTCTCTCTTTTATTTTTTTTTTTTTGAGACCATAGCTTTTTATGTTGTCCGGACTGTCCTGGAACTCGTCCTACCTCAGCTTTCCCAGTAGCTGGGACTATATGTACGTACTACCATGTCCAGATCAAATTGGGTTGCCTTTTAATTGCTAAGTTGTTGGAATTCTTTAAATATTCTGGATACATGTTATTTGTTAAATAAATGTATTCAGAAGATCTTCTTTCAGTCTGACTTGTCTTTCATTTCTTAATGTTGCTTTTGAAAAGCACAAGGTTTTACTTTTTATAAAGTTCAATTTACTACTTGCTTTTCTGATTAATGTTTGTATCCCATTAAAGGCATCTTTGCCTACCAATATTACAAAGATATTTTCCTACATTTTCTTCTGGCTGCTTTCTTTTTTGTAGTGCTGGAGATTGAACCCAAGGCAGATTCTCTACCATTCCAGCCCTAGCTTTTTAGTTGTAAGTTTTCATTTTTAAGTCTGTGATATATCTTAAATTAATTTTGCATATGGTGTGAGGTATGGGTTAAGGAATTAATAAATTACATGATTTAAAGATATTAAAAGGTTTCAGTGATCAAGGCATTATGGTATGGTATTAACATATAAACAGATCAATGGAATAGAAGACAGTCTAGAAATAGAAACACATATATAGTCAGTTGATTTTTTTTAATTTTTGCAATATTAGAGATTGAACCCAGGCCTTGTGCATGCTTAGGCAAGTGCTTTACACTAAGCTTTATCCCCAGCACCAGTCAGTTGATTTTAGAAGGTACCAAATTATCTTGATGAGAAAAGCAAGGATTTTTTTTTTTTTTTTTTTTTAACAAATGGTGCTGGCTGGGTGCCATGCCATGCCAACACCTCTAATCCCAGTGGCTCGGGAGGCTAAGGCAGGAGAATCATGAGTTCAAAGCTAGTCTCAGCAAAATGCACGGTTATAAGCCACTTAGTGAGAACCCTGTTCCTAAATAAAATACAAAATAGGGCTGGGATCCAGTGCCCCTGTGTTAAATCCCCTGTACCCTCCCCCACTGCAAAAAAAAAAAAAAGTTGGGGGCCTGTGGATGTGGCTCACCGATCTGTTTGTTTATATGCCAATACTATACTATAATGCCTTGATTACTGAAGCTTTTTAATATCTTGAACCTCTAGGTTCAATCCCCAGTACCAAAAAAAAATGCTGAAGGATTGTTTTCACTTGTATGGAAATAAATTTGTTTTTAGTTGTAGGTGGACACAATACCTTTATTTCACTTATTTATTTTTATGTGGTGCTGAGGATCGAACCCAGGATCTCACACGTGTGAGGCATGGAAATAAATTTGATTCCATTTTATTCCATATACAAAAATTAAGTTGAAGTGAATCAAACATAACTAATATTTTTAATCCCATTTCACTGATAGGATTTACATAATTAGCTTTAGGAGGAATTAACCCTCAAGTGCTAGGTTTATTAAATAGAACAAACAATAAATACCGATAGTTCACTTTTAAGTTTTTCTTCCCCCCAGGATAAATGTATTTTATTATTAAAATAAAATAAGAGGATGGTTAATAGCAACTCTTTCTTTTATTATTTATTTACTTATTCTAATTAGGTATACATGACAGCAGAATGCATTTTGATTCATGGTACATAATTGCTTAATTTGTTTTTCAGGGAAGACTTATGCTATCTTTATGTATACTGTTCCTAATATTCATCAATGCTTTTGGAGGTGGCCTATAGAAGAGCATAGTGAACAATTTGATAATAGATGAAAAATTTTTTAAATGTTATCTTTTAAAAATAGTGCATGAAGGAGTTGGGGATGTGGCTCAAGTGGTAGTATGCTTGCCTGGCGTGTGTGAGGCATTGGGTTCGATCCTCAGCACCACATAAAAATAAAATAAAGATATTGTGTCCACCTAAAAAAACTAAAAAATACTTTTAAAAAATAGTGCATGACAAAAGTAATATCTGGGGCTAGGGTTGTGGCTCAGTGGTAGAGTACTCACCTAGCACGTGCAAGGTGCTGGGTTCGATCCTCAGGACCACATAAAAATAAGTAAGTAAAAAATAAAGGTATTGTGTCCAACTAAAACTAAAAAATATTTTTAAAAAAAGTAATATTAGGGGCTAGGGTTGTGGCTCAGTGGTAGAGTGCTCACCTAGCATGTATGAGGCACTGGGTTCAATCCTCAGCACCACATAAATGAAAAATAAAGGTATCGTGTATTATGATCATCTGAAGCTAAAAAATAAATATTAAAAAAGTAATATCAGAAGGTGTAAAAATTGGCAGATACATAGTTCAAATAGACAGCAGCCTTATATCCACATTTTTAATTTTTTTCTTTTTCTGTACTGGAGATTGAACTCGGGGCTTCACACATGTGCTAAGCAAATGCTGTTTACATTTCCAAACCTTTTCATTTTATTTTGTGACAAATCTCACTGAGTTAACCAGACTGCCTTCAAATTTGAGATCCTTCTGCCTTAGTCTTCTGAGGTGCTAGAATTACAGGTGTGGGCCATTGTACCTGTCTCAGACTTTCTTGAGTAACTTCATTACCTACCATTCTAATCCCCTAGAAGAAAGTCTGAAATACAATATTTCATTTTTGAGTAATGCAAAGTAATTCACAGTCACTTTGCAAACAGGCATCATATTCTGCTATACTACAGAAGTTTCAAAAACATGCTTTTCTCCCACACAGTAGGTAAATATTTTGAAGTAATTAATAGTAGTCCTTCTACAAAGCCCAACAAAGGAAAAAAGAACTAAGTAGTAATATTTTTTGTTGTATCTGTTAACTACAACTTGACAAAGACATCTGAAAACATCTTTGTGCATTGTGATATGAAGATCTTAAAACTGAAATCTTGCTGGGCACAGTGGTGCATGCCTGTAATCCCAGTGGCTCCAGAGGCTAAGGCAGAAGGATTACAAATTCAAAGCTAGCCTCAGAAATTTAGCAAAGCCTTGTCTCAAAATTTAAAAAAAAAAAAAATTAAAAAAAAAAATTGGAGTTGTGGCTCAAAGGTTAAGTGCTCCAGCTCAATACCTGGTACTCCACCCCCCAAATTTAAAAAAAAAAAAAAAAAAAAGCTGAAATCTTGCAATTAGTGACTTTTTGTTGAATCACATACATAGTCATAAAATGTAAAGACTGAATCTCCACATCTAAGCCACTGGTTCTCAATCAGGGGTTGATTTTGACCCCTTTGAGGGCATTTGGCAATGTTGGGACATTTTTTTTTACAGTCATATCTTGAGGGATGCTGCTAGCATCTAGCGGATAGAAGCCATGGCTGATGCTAAACAAACATTCTGTAGTGAATGTGAAATAGTCCCTTAAAATAAAGGATACTGCCCCCAAAAACTTGTAACCAAAGGATATGTGGGTAGGTGGGTACTGTATATGGTGAGTCTGGTGAGAGGAAGGAAAACTAAATTTTGGTCTTTCTAAGCTGGGAGGAAAAATCAGTAATTAGAGATACAAATAAGTTACTAAAAGATGTGGAAATAGTAAGGGACCGTGGCTGTAATTTAGGAATAGAGCGCTTGCCTAGCGTGAGTATGGTCCTAGGTTTGATCCCCAGCAACACACACACACACACACACACACACACACATACACCAAAAGAAAAAAAAACCCCACAGTTTAAAAGCTGTATTTTTGGTTAACCCTAACTTTGCAGAAAGGGGAAATGAGTAGAGGGATAGAGGACTGTTATTTGTTTTAGTTAACTTGGTTTAACTAGTTGGTTGGTTGGTTGGTTAGTTGATTGATTGATTGATTGATTTTTGGTACCAGAGATTGAATTCAAGGGCACTTGACCACTGAGCCACATCCCCAGCCCTGTTTTGTATTTTATTTAGAGACAGGGTCTCACTGAGTTCCTTAGCACTTGCTTTTAATGTGTACTATTGCTTTCAATAGGAATATATAATTATACACATCTTATCCCCAAAGGTCATAAATTTTCAGTTTAGTAATCTCATGAGTAGCAAACCTAATAGATTTTTGTTTTTTGAGTTGGGGGGTCTCACTGTTGCCCAGTTGGTCTCTTGTTATTGTTTGGGTTTGGAATATCCCCTCAAAAGCTCCTATGTTGAAAATGTGGTCCCTAGTGCAGCAAGGTTCAGAAGCAGGGATTTTAGACATTGATTGAAACATCAACAGTGGAATAATCCATTTGATAGATTAATAATTTGAATGGTGGTAATTGTAGGTAGGTAGGGCATGGCTGGAGGAAGTAGGTTCACTGGGGGCATGGCCCTGGACACTTTATCTGACCCTGGCCCCTGCCACTCCACACATACACCCCACCCTTCTGCTTCCCAGCTGCCTTGAGCTGAACAGCTCAACACCCCGGTATTGGAATACCTGCCATGGTATTCTGCTTCACCCAGAACAGTGGAGTAAGCCAACGATGGACTAAGTAAGATCTTTGAACTATGAACCAAAATAAATTTTTCCTCTTTTAAGTAATTTTTTTTTTTTAGTTGTAGATGAACATAATAGCTTTATTTATTTGTTTGTTCGTTTGTTTATTTGTGGTGCTGAGGATCAAACCCAGTGCTTCACTCATGCCAGGCAGGCACTCTACCACTGAGCCATAACCCTGTCCATTGAGAACTGTAAAATCTCAATTCTTTACCAAGAAATGCAGGAAGGAAAGAGAAAAGACCTAAACTTGGGCTTTTGTCTCATTCAGTAGCCCTTCCAGTCCCATGGTTTTGTTTAACATATTTTGATGATTTCCAAATACATATTTCCAGTTTGTATTTCTCTCTTGAGTTTAGGCAAATGTATCCTTTTATACTCTTTCTCTGAATATTCTACATATATCTTAGACTATCTTAAACCTGATTTCCTTCTTTCCCGTATCACTAACTGACCCCATGATCCAATCAGATGTTCATTCTTTACTTTTCCTTCTTCCTTGATCCCCATGGCCATTTAATCACTTACTAATTCAGATTCTATTCCTAAACATGTTTCACTCAATCCTATTTCTAATGCTATAATCCTGACATAGTTACCATCATTTCTCGCCAGACTTATCACCATGGCTTCTTGACTGACCTGTACTTCTATTCTTACATACTTACTGTTGGAAATTCATAACAAAATCAGAGTAGTCTTTCTGAAGTACAAATCTATCATTTATCTGCCTTTTTCTTTTTACTTCTGTGCTGCCATGTTGCTTTCAGAATTAAATGGTGTTCAGTTTGTGTTATATATAGCTAAGAGGATACCATTCACATCTCATACATCTTTGTTATTTTGAACCATTTCTGCATTTTATTATATTTCTATTATTATTTAATTGACACCAAAATAGTGTGTTTTTTGGGGCTGGGGATGTGGCTCAAGCGGTAGCGCGCTCACCTGGCATGCGTGTGGCCTGGGTTCGATCCTCAGCACCACATACAAACAAAGATGTTGTGTCCGCCGAAAACTAAAAAATAAATATTAAAAAAAAAATAGTGTGTTTTTATTATAGATGTCAGTTGATGGCAATAAAATAAAAATCAAAATTAAATTTGTCTGATAGACTTGACATTTTGGTGAAAAAGTATCAATGTATAACATTCTGCTTTGAATTTATAGTGTTTAATATAACATCAAGGAGCTGGGGTTGTGGCTCAGCGGTAAAGTGCTTGCCTAACATGTGTGAGGCCTTGGGTTCGATCCTCAGCACCACATATAAATTAATAAAATAAAGGTATTATGTCCAACTACAACTAAAAAAAAATTATTAAAGAGTGTGTGTGTGTATGTGTGTGTGTGTGTATATATATATATATATATGAAAAAATAATCTGGGGGGCTGGGGCTCAGTGGTGGAGCACCTGCCTCGCATGTGTGAGGCACTGGGTTCTGTCCCCAGCACCACATAAACACACAGTATCTTTATTCATTTTTGTCCACAACTAAAAATATATTTTAAAAAAAATATGTGGGCTTGGGTTGTGGCTCAGTGGTAGAGCACTTGCCTAGCACGTGTGAGGCACTGGGTTTGATTCTCAGTACCACATTAAAAAATAAATAAATAAAATAAAGGTATTGTGTCCATCTATAATGAAAAATCTAAAAAAATGCTGAATGATTTCTCTGATTTATGGATGCTAATTCATAATATGCTACGGGGGTGGGTGGGTGGGAAGATTAAATGAACTCTAGATAGGGCAGAGGGGAAAAGGGGAGGGAGGGCTAGGGAGGAGACATAGGGGTAGGAAAGATGGTGGAATACGATGGTCATCAGTACCCTAAGTACATGTATGAAGACATGAAGAATGTGACTCTACTTTGTGTACAACCAGAGACATAAAAAGTTGTGCTCTATATGTATAATATGAATTGTAATGCATTCTGTTAAATAACAAATTAAAATTAAAAATTTTTAAAGAAAAAATAGTAATATATGTGCTTTTAAGAGTCTAAGAAGTTCCAGACTAGCTTGGACAACATAGGGAGACCGTGTTTCAAAATAAAAGTATTTCTAAAATTGAGAGTTCTCTCATGTCATACATGTGTGCATGTATGGTATTGAAGGAATTCTTTTTTTTTTAAGAGAGAGAGAGAGAATTTTTTTTTAATATTTTTCAGTTCTCAGCGGACACAACATCTTTGTTGGTATGTGGTGCTGAGGATCGAACCCGGGGCACATGCATGCCAGGCAAGCGTGCTACCGCTGGAGCCACATCCCCAGCCCCTTGAAGGAATTCTTTATGGCAGTTTCACTGCTCCAAGTAATTGCTGTTTTGTGGGGTGTGGTGGCACACACCTGTAATCTCAGCAACTCAGGTGGCTGAGGCAGGAGAATCCTAAGATTGAGGCCAGACTGGGCCACTTAGTAAGACTGTCTCAAACTGAAAATGAAAATTGTTGGGGATATAGCTATATATGAAAAAATAATATAAAATATATATATATATATATATATATATATATATATATATATATATGAAAATTGTTGGGGATATAGGTAGCACACCCTAGGATCAATCCCCAGTACCACAATGAATTAATGAATTTTAATTTTATTGACCTTTACATGAATTTTATACAAATTTTATTGGGATATAATTAACATACCCTACAATTTGCCAGAGATAATTTTATTTTATTTAATATTTTTTAATTATTTTTTTTAGTTGTAGTTGTACACAATATCTTTGTTTTTATTTATTTATTTTTTATGTGGTGCTGAGGATCGAACCCAGGGCCCTTTACACGCTAGGAGAGCCCTCTACCACTGAGCCACAACCCCAGCCCCCACCATAGATAATTTTAAAACATTCTTACCACTAAACCCCATCTCTTAAAAGTCAATTGCAAGCTGGGCGTGGTGGCACATGCCTGTAATTCCAGCAGTAAGGGAGGCCTGAGACGGGAGGATTGCAAGTTCAAGCCAGACTCAGCCTTGGTGAGGAACTAAGCAACTCAGTGAGACCCTGTCTCTAAAATAAAAAGCAAAATAGGGCTGGGAAGGTGGATCAGTGGTTGAGTGCCCCTGAATTCAGTCCCCAGTAACCTCCTACACAAAAATCAATTGCCATTCTCTCCCCCCCAACACACAAATCCTAGACAACTAAAATTTACCTTCTGTCTATAAATTTGCCTGTTCTTGAAATTTGACATCAGTGGACTTAAAATGAGGTATTTTCTAACAGACTTCTTTCATGTATGCTACTGTTTTCAGGGTTCATCTGTGTTGTAATACCTATTAGTACTTCATTTGTTTTTATTGCCATACTGTCCATTGAATGGCTAACACTGTATTTTCCTACCCATTATTTGTGACAGACATTAGAATTATTTCAATTTTTTTCTCTTAGGAATACAATTGCTGTGAACATTTATGTGTTTTTGTGTGGGCTTATGTTTTTGTATTTACCTTGAGTGGAATAGCTTGGAATAGAATTACTTGGTCATGTAATGACTGTTTAAACATCAGAGAAACTGGCATACTTTTTTTGTATGTTTGGTACCAGGGATTGAACCCAGGGGCACATAACCAGTTGCGGAGGGCCTTGCTAAGTTGCTAAGGCTGGCTTTGAACTTGGCATCCTCCTGCCTCAGCTTCCCCAGCCGCTGGGATTACAGGCTTGCACCACCATGCCTGACAAACTGCAACAGCAGATACATCATTTTATATTCCCACCAGCACCTTAGGGAGGTTCTAGTTGGATATTTTCCCCAGTACTGAGGATTGAGTACCAGGCCTTCCACAGGTTATACAAGTGCTCTGCTACTGAGCTATATCCCCAGCCTTTTTTTTTTTTTTTAAGTTAAGGTCTTGCTAAATTTCCCAGGCTGGCCTCCAACTTGTGATCCTCCTGTCTCAGCCTCCATAGTATCTGGGATTATAAGTATGGATCACCTCCCCTATCTAGTTCTCTACATCCTTATCAACATTTATAATTGTCTGTTTATTGTAGTCATCCTTATAAATGGGAAGTGGTGTGCTTTATTGTTTTGATTTGCATTTCTTTGATTGCTAATGATGAGTATCATTTCGTGTGCTTATTGGGCATTCCTATATACATTAATTTTTGAAATGTTAAGAATTTAAGGGCTGACGCTGTAGCTCAGTGTAGAGTGCCCGCCTTGCATGTGTTAGACACTGGGTTTGATCCTCAGCACCACATAAAAATAAATAAAGATATTGTGTCCAGCTACAACTAAAAAAAGAAAAAAAAAAGAATTTAAAATGGGGGGCTGGCGTTGTGGCTCAGTGGTAGTGTGCTTGCCTAGCATGCGTGAGGCACTGAGTTTGATTCTCAATACCACATACAGATAAGTAAAATAAAGGCACATCAACAACTAAAAAATAGTTTTAAAAAAAGTTTTTAAAATGAAGTTGTAATCTCTTATTTATTCTCAGATGACAGAAGCAAAATCAAAAGCATCAGCATTAGAAAACAGAAAAAGGAATGCCATCAGAGAAGAAAATGAAAGAAAATTATATGGATCATCAAATACACTTTTGGAAAAAATAGAAGGAATACCAGAAAAAAAGGAAAAGAGTTTGGAACTACAGGTTTCAGCAGAATGTACCCCAGATACATTACTGAACAAACAGAATGTGAATTTACTTTCTTCCATGTCAGCCATAGCTGATAAATTTCAAGAGCAACTGGAAAACAAAACTTCAGAAGATTCCATTATACCAGTTGTGCTTTCTGCAGATCCAGGTACATGGCCCCGAATTCTGAATATTAAACAACGGGATACTCTTGTTGAAAATGATCCACCTCAAGTAAGAAATTTTAACTTTCCAAAAGACAATACAGGGAGAAAGTTTTCAGAAACTTATTATACACGAATTCTTCCAAGTGGTGAAAAAGCAACTAGATCCTGGCTACTTTATTCAACCTCAAAAGATTCTGTGTTTTGCCTGTATTGCAAACTCTTTGGAGAAGGAAAAAATCAATTGAAAAATGAGAATGGATGCAAAGATTGGCAGCATTTATCACATATTCTTAGTAAACATGAAGAAAGTGAAATGCACATCAATAATAGTGTTAAGTATTCAAAATTAAAATCTGATTTGAAAAAAAATAAAACTAATGAAGCTGGAAAACATAGATTCTATGAAGATGAGAAGAATGATGGTGTACAGCTGTTGTATACTTAACATACCTGATTTGGATTTTGACATGACAGTGTCTTAGCATTACTCAGAAAAGAGCTGTACCATAAGTTAGTACCCTTAAGTTGTGAGTCTCCTATACAGAGTAACTTACAACAGTTCATTAGCAATAAGTATAATAGCAAATAGTCAAGAATGTTCCTATTCATATCTACAACTAATTGGATTCAGTAGTTATTATCGCAGATTTTACTAAGTATAGTTTTCAATTGTCAGTCTGTCAATTCTCATGTTTTTAAAATTGATATTTAAGAAGTGTCATGTTTACAAGGAGTTTAATATTCCTGGTTACTATGAAAAAGAAAGGAAAGACTTGAAATTATTAATGCCATTTTGAATAAGATACCTGTGTGAACAATCATTGTCATTAAAGTAAAAACATTGTTTAAGAACAGAATGGAATCTGAAACTACAGCTTTTTACTGTTAAACCAAATATTTGATTTATTTCTTTTGAACAAAACATTTTTCTATCTGAGCAAAACAGCATTATTTCTTATATTAAATAAATTAAGATGACTAATTTGCATTTTTGTTTTATATTTTTGTTAAAAATTTAATTTGTAAATGTTTAGCTTTTGTTGTATGAGAACTATAAGCATAAAGAATATATTCCTATTTTTTGTTGATTCAAATATAAGAAATATTAAAATAAAAATATATCAAGTTAATTTTTCTGTATTGGGGTTAGTTTGTTCTTCCTGTGAAAGATGACACTCTCTCTCTCTCTCTCTCTCTCTCTCTCTCTCTCTATATATATATATATATATATATATATATATACATACATACATACATGAAATTTGAAATAGATTTAATTTTTTTTTTGATACGGTCAGCTAGTGTCCTCATCACTATGAATTTAGTAATTCTTTTTTTTTTTTTTTTTAAATCAGGAATTGAACCCAGGCTACATCCTTATCCCTTTTTTATTTTTTATTTTGAGACTGGGCCTTGCTAAATTGCTGAGGCCAGCTTTGAACTTGGGATCCTCCTGCCTCAGCCTCTCAAGCTGCTGGGATTACAGGCATGTGCCACTGTGCCTGGAAGTAATTCTCTCTCTTTTTTTTTTCCCCCCTCTCTGATGCCAGTTTTTTGTTGGTTGGTTGGTTGGTGGTGCTGGGGATTGAACTCAGGGCCTTATGTATGTGAGGCAAGCACTCTACCATGTGAGCCATATCCCCAGCCCCATCTGATGCCAGTTTTATCATATTAAAATCTTACATATACTTGGGCTTATACTTTCAAGGCTTTTCTTGTGAAACAGTTGTATTTGATAAGAAGATAACATTCTTTTCTTTTTCCCCCTCCCTGTGGTGCTGGGCATTGAACACAGGGGCACTCTACCACTGAATTACATCCCCAGCCCTTTTTATTTTGAGACAGGGTCTCCCTAAGTTGCCTTAAACTTGTGATCCTACTACCTCAGCCCCATCAGAATATCTGGGATTATAGGCACACACCACTATGTCTGGCCCCAATTTGTTTTATAAAGCCAGAAATAGCCAGATGATAAATTCAAAAATCAGATAAGAATGAAAAATCTACAACTAGAGGCTGTGAATTTTGTGGTAGAGTGCTTGCCTAGTATGCTTGAGGTCTTGTTCAATCCCCAGCACTGCAAACAACAATAAACAAATCTGCAACTAAAATGCTTAATAATGAAATATTCTTCTCAGAACTCAGAAATAAGACCAAGATGATCAGTATTATCACTTCTGTTCAGCATTCCTTGGGATTCTAGTCAGTTCCACAAATAAAAAAATATTAAAAATAGAATAAATTTACTTTCACTGGACATGTCTATATACAGAAAACCCGAAAGACTGTGGCAAATTAAGATTAATAGGGAATTTGGCCAATATATTAAAAAATTAATTGTATTTATTAGGAATAGAGGAAATTAAATATTTTTTACAATAGCATCTAAAAAATCGTATACAGGAATAATCTTTGTGAAGTTTATGCATAGGGGCTGGGGATGTGGCTCAAGCGGTAGCGTGCTCGCCTGGCATGCGTGAGGCCCGGGTTTGATCCTCTGCACCACATACAAACAAAGATGTTATGTCCGCCGAGAACTAAAAAATACATATTTTAAAAAAAAAGTTTATGCATAATCTCCACAAAAGCCTATTAAACTAGATTAAAGAAAACCTGGGATCTAGGGATTTAGTTCAGTGGTCCAGCCCTTGTGTAGCATACATGGAGACATGGGTTCCATTAACAGTACTGGTGGGAATGTGAGGATGAGTAAAGGAAGAAATATACTATATTCCTAACTTTGAAGACTTAATATTAACATCAAGATGTCAGTTCGTCCAATGCTGGTCTAGATTCAACACTATTGCAGTAAAATCGAATTTATTTATTTATTTATATATTTTTTGTACCACGGATTGAACTCAGGGGCACTCAACCACTGAGCCACATCCCCAGCCCTATTTTGTAGTTTATTTAAAGACAGGGTCTCACTGAATTGCTTAGGTCCTTGAAGTTGCTAAGGCTGGCTTTGAACTCGCAATTCTCCTGTCTCAGCCTCCCAAACCACTGGGATTACAGGCGTGCGCCACTGTGCCCAGCTTCTTTTTTTTTTTTTTTTTTAATTTAAAACAACAGAAATTTATCAAATTTTGGGGTGGAAAATGATCAACTAATTCTGAAATTTATCAGAAATGCAAAATCTTAGAATAATAATAGGTAAGACATTCTTGAAATAATACATTTAGAGGCTGTATCCCTAGTCTATCATATCATAAAGTCACAGTTAAGTCTGCTGTTGTTATATAAGTATAAACAAATAGATCAATTAAATAGAGAACAGAAAGCCCCAAAACAAAACTATACATATATAATGACCTGACTTAACAGCAAAGGCATCATTGTATTTCAGTGATGAAAGGATGATCTTGTTAATAAATGGTGCTAGATTAATTGAATATCCATATGAAAAAGTAAATGTTGGGCTAGGGATTTAGCTCAATTGGTAGAATGCTTGTCTCCCACACACAGGGCCCTGAGTTCAATCCCCAGCATCACAAAAATAAATAAATAAATAAAATGCTGATTCCCATGTTACACTATACAAAGAAATGTATCTGCAATTGATTATAGACCTAGATATGAAAAGTAAAGTTCTGTAAGAAAACGAGAAAATATTTTCGTAATCTTGGTATCAGCAAGAAGGTCTTAAGGGAGACCCAAAAAAGCAGTAATTATTTTTTTAAGAGGATTGACAAATTGGCCTTCATTAAAACTTAAGAACATCTGGAAGGTGGCAGTGGCTTCAGAGTTTTGGATATTCTCTAATTGCCATTAAAAAAGCAAATAGAAGGGGCTGGGATTGTGGCTCAGCGGTAGAGCGTTCCCCTAGCACGGGTGGGACCCCGGTTCAATCCTCAGCACCACATAAAAATAAAGGCATTGTGTTGTACCCATATATACCTAAAAAACAAATATTTAAAAAAAAAAAAAAGCAAATAGAAGCTGTGCATGGTGGCATGTGCCTATCTGTAGCCCCAGCTACTTATGAGTTGAGGCAGGAAGATCCCTAGGAGTTGGAGGTCAGCCTGGACAACATAGACACCTATTTCCTAGGTGTCAAGATTTCCCCTCAAGCTAGATGTGGTGGCCCATACCTATAATCCCGAACATTCTTCAGTAATTTGGGAGGCCAAGGCAGGAGAACTGCAAGTTTGAGGCCAGTCAATGCAAATTAGACCATTTCTCTAAATAAATTAATTAATTAAATAGGACTGTGGATACACCTCTACATGTGTAAGGCCCTTGGTTCAATCCTCAATACCAGGAGGAAAAAAAGATGTTCCCACAAAAGGGGATGGAGACAATCACCAAGGACAAGTTCTGAGTGTTACCAGCTGCCTATATAGGAGAAAACAAGCAAAGGGCATTTGATGAATATGAGAATAGAAGAATCCCAAGAGAGGCAATAGATGTTCACTGAAAGGTCCAGAAGGTCAGTTTGAGAACAGCTGAGACAAAGATCTTCTCTTAATCCAGTAACTGATTAGTATAAGGAACTCAGAAGAAGACCTTATAAAGTCCTGAAACTGAACAGTGAAGAGTTCCTTTCAGGACAAGAACTTATTTAGAGCAATCAAAATTGAGCAGGTTAGAAACCAATCAAAGAGGTTTTGGATAAAAACATTACAAGGATAATAGAGGTTATCTTAGAAAGCAGGTTGACAAAAGATTTTTTTTAATACTATGCGAAACAGACCAAAAGAACTCTGAGATACAACAGCTTTTGAGTTACACAGCTTAATTTGGGGAAAATAAATTTGCCTTCAAGTGAGCAACAGAAAAAATATCAAGGCCAAACCCTATGCAAAATTAAAAGACAAGGGATGGGGTTGTGGCTCAGTGGTAGAGTGCTTGCCTAGCATGTATGAAGCACTGGGTTTGATCCTCAGCACAGTTAAAATAAATAGAAATAAAGGTATTGAAAGAAAAAAAGCAAACTCTTAAAAATTAAAAGCCATAAGAGACGGGGCTTGAGGTATATACCTCAGTGCAAGAATGCATGTTTATTGTGTATAAGGCCTTGGGTTCCATCCCCAAGACCACAGAAAGAGAGCTGGGCACAGAGGCACACACCTGTAATCCCAGCAACTCCAGAGGCTAACACAGGAGGATCTCAAGTTCAAAGCCAGTCTCTGCAATTTAGCGAGACCTTAAGCAACTTAGTGAGACCTTGTTTCCAAATAAATATAAAAAGGGCTGGAGATGTGGCTCAGTGGTTAAGCGCTCCTAGGTTCAATTCCTGGTTTGGTTGGATGGATGGATAGATAGATAGATAGATAGATAGATAAAAGGGAGGGGAAGAATAAAAGAACAGAAAGAGATAATGAAATCACACCAAAAAAATTCTCAGAAAGCATCACAACTGCAACATGTTACTTCAAAACAAGGTACATACTACATACTTTGAAATGTACCAAAAAATAAGATGGATTAATGAATAGATGGGTAGATAGATATATGATAACACAAGTATAGATATATGTAATCAGCAAATACAGGTATAAGTATACAGGGGTTTGTAAAATTATTTTCAACTGATAAAGATTGTGCCGTTGGAAAAGCATGTATATAAAAGGTAATCAATGGAAGAGTCCAAGGCAGAGAAGAGAAAGTGAATGAATAAAACAATAACATAAATACAACATTGGAAGCACAGAGCCACAGCCCAAGATTTTCAAAAAAAAATGAATATTTAAAAGTTTGGAAAACTAAAAAGATATTGTAGATCTCAAGGTCAAGGCCATCTGGGCAACTTAGGGAGATGCTGTCTTAAAAGGGTTTGTGGGGGCTGGAGTTGTAGCTCAGAGGTAGAGCACTTGCTTAGCACATGTGAGGTACTGGATTCGATCCTCAGCACCACATGAAAATAAATGAATAAAATGAAAGTATTGTGTCCATCCACAATTTAAAAAGTATTTTTTGAATGGTGGAGGGGTGGGATGTATCTCAGTTGTAATGCATCACTGGGTTCCTTCCCCAGTACCACAT